TATCCTACACTACGGACGCCCTAGTGTATGCACAGTCCTTGTGATGCCAGAAATGCCTACCCCTCTTCATACATAAGCGGGGGGTAAATTTACCCCCCAGATTTGCAATAACCATACACCGGCTATTTCCTCAAGACACTCTATTCCATATACCTTTTACCCGTGCTTCTCCTACACTACGGACGCCCTAGTGTATGTACAGTCCGTATGATGTCAGAAATGCTTACCCCTCTTTCCGACTCAAGGCATACAAAAGCGGAGGGTAAATTTACCCCCCAGATTTGCCGATCACGCATCTTCGTGCCTGCCAACGAGTGCACCCGGGTTGTTCCAATGTACCCTTCCCAGTCAGCGATGTCACATTTACAGTCTTTAGCGCAAAGTATGTACATAGCAACCTTCCTCCCAAAACATGTAATCCCTACATGCTTTGCCGACTATGTAACTAGTACATCCGGTGCGATTCGGCTAGCTTTCGACCTCTCCCCCTGGCCTCAAGTGTTTGACTGTGACACAGTACAACAACTGGCCATGGTCTTCAATCCGAACTCCCTTGTCTCATCCGAACTCTTTGAAACTACAAAAAGTATTCTCAGTTTTCACATATTTTACTAGGTTGAGATCACATATAGCATTGAAGTCACCAAGCAAAATCAGGAAGAGGTAGTGTTAAGTCCCATGCCATCTTAGAAACATCCTAATTGGATGCTGTTTGCGCTGCCTAAGATCCCGAAGAGACCTGGACAACTGATCCAACAGCAAGTAGCAGAGGGATTGGTTGTTGCTCGAAGTGACAAGAATGAGTATGCGGGCGTGTGTCGCAGTACTTCGGGAGACCTATCTTCGACCCTCGAGAACCAAAAGAAAACATGGATCAACCCTGTCACTTTGGCTCTTCGGTCTTCTTTTTTGAGAAACCTGTAGGTAGCTTAGGTCCTTTCATGACATTTCTTTTCCTATCTCTCTCTCCCTCTCTCTCTCTCTCTGCAGCGCTGGGTGCGGCAGCATTCCTAGGTTGCTGTTGGCCTTTGCCCTGGCATTTCTTTGGTTCGCATTGCACCGGGAGCTTTTAACCGAGAAGCCGCAGGCGGGTGCTCATATGACAGCCAAGGGAGTGAGGTTGATCTTTGGAAATGAGTGATGTTGATTTGAATGTAAATGTTTTAGTAGCTAGTAACAAGAAGCTACTAGGGGTTCCTGGCATCGCTACGAGGAGCAAGGACGCTACTATAGGGGCTCCTGGCATCGCTACGAAAGCGGATCTGCACGGGAAGGTCAATGTGAGGAGGTGTGGTGGACTTGATATGAACTAAAGATAGTTGGTGGGACCCGGGATTGACATCATCCACAAGAGCTTTTGTTTGAACAGATTACCATATGAACAGACGATGTAAATTACTTGGGCATATAATTAGAATCAGTAATGATGACCCCATGAGACAAATATCATTCGTTGATAGCACTGCATCCAGAGTTGATTACGGCACCAAACGAGTTGGGAAACCGAGGCAAAACTGGCTGCATATCACAAAGAAATTTGCATACGAAAACGTTTTAAGACATCACAATTTCGATGAAAACACCGATGATGCAAGAATATATGCAGCCGCATTGAACAGATATTTTTAATTACCGTTCTTTGGCTGTGCCAACGCCTTGCAAAAAGCCCGTCCGGACCAGGTCGGCGCGAGGTATGGCTGGAAAAAAAGGCATGTTTCTCACGGCCAGGATGGAAAAGATTTTCACAGAAGGAACTTTGCAGTATTCCGGTCGGTTTGGTGTCATTGATGCTTCTCTCAGCGCTTGGATTTGTAGCGGAACCCAAGCCATCCTAAAAAGCAATCGCAATATGTCCAACAATCCCACATAGTAAACATCAACCAACGTTATATTACGCAGAATCTCAATTCATAGCTGAAGCTCTTCTACAATCCATGTCTGGGGGTGTGACTAATCAAGATGCTACATAACCCATTTGGCTGTTTGTCACCGCACCAGGATACTGCGGGAGGGCACGAGGTCCCGCCCCTTGTTACACCGGTCGTTCGCTGCAAAGCGTGGACTGGTGGGGCTCACATATGGGTCACGACCCATCGCCATCGCTCTTAGGGTGGTCACGACCCATCCCCCAGCTTATCCCCAGCTCCCGCCCTGACAGACTGTGGAAGCCGAGCAGGAAGCCGAGGCGGGGGACCTGTACCCGGTCACGGTACCATGTCACGACCGTACCTCCGGCGAAAATCGGACGGCGGCCTGGAAGTTGTGTCCCAGTGTCCAAGCAGACAGGATAATTGTTGATCACATATACAGTATATATATATATATGTGCAAAGTGCTAAAGGTCGGCGCTCACGTTTCTACAAAAATGAGCAATTTGCATTTTCCTTGAAAAAACGATACCAATCCCAAAAACGATACCTAGCCTTGTGACGGTACACATCTTGGAATCTAGCTTTGCCTATTGACACTGTTGACACTCGAGACAGTGTATGTCCAATGTATTTTTTTGCATACGGTTTGCCATGCTAGTTGGACATTCCATTTTGTTTTTGCTCATGTTCCCGTCTCTTTCTTCGATGGGAAACAAGTATGAGTTTAGACCGATACCAAAAACGATACCAAACGATACCCACTTCATAGGTCTGTATCTCCTCAGAAGCGACCTGCCCACTCACATGCCACTACTACTGCCACTGCTTCTACTTCTGCTACTACTTCTAACACCACCGCCACCACCACCACCGCTACTACTACTACTACTACTACTACTACTACTACTACTACTACTACTACT